GAGAACAGGGAGCCCCCGGCCTCCCCAGCCTTACCCGTCAATGATCAATCCCTCGTAGGGAGCCTTCTTGTCACAGACAGGACACGTCCAGGTGGGCTTCTTCTCGTTCATCTGCAGGTACAGGGCCGCGTCGAAGCACTGGAGGTGGGTGCAGGTAAAGGCACGACAGGGAACGATCAGCCGCATCTTGCCCAGCTGGCGGGGGGAGGAAAGGGATGGGGAGGGTGAGTTGCTTCAGGAGGACCCAGACCCCTGCAGTGGGGGATCCCCTCTCAACAGGGCGTCCTCGTTATGTGCTTCGCCATCCCTCAAACGCTGGGGCCTGCAGCACATTCCAGTGTCAAATCACACAATTTATGGCTCTTTGCAGCAGCATCCTGCAGTTCTTGTGACTGCGTTCTACGAGTGTAGCTAAAACCCACTCTAAGGAATCCTTCCAAAGTTACAGCGGCAGTCAAAAACGTGATTGACGACCGTTGTTAACGACCCACCTCACTTTACATCTTAAGAAGACAGAATTCTTGGAATGTCTCTTCCAACAGGCATCTTTATTAAGAGAAAATGATTGCAGGCGTGCTAGACAGGATCCGGGGAATTCTCTCCCATCCTTCAATTGTTTTAAAGTGTTCCCAAGCAGCCCCCCACCCCACATTTCTTCCGGGTGATGATCACTCATCCTCTCTTTTCCCAGATCCCAGGTGCTGCATTGTCCCCCCCCCCTTTTCCCTCACTGCCCGCAAAAGGGAGACTTCAGAGAGAGAGTAGATGAAAGGCGATGGCGATATTGTTATGGTCAGTCCTTTTGATGAGAATCCACATCCAGTCACTTTGTAGTTTAATGAAGGAAGTGAGAGTCATAACCCGCCCCTGCTCATCCCCCTTCCCCTTCGTAGTATGACAGAATCCAGAGAGAGTAAGAAATGGGTTTTTATCAGAGTAGGTAGCTAGAAATGAAATATAATTGGATTCTGACATCCGTTTTTCAGAGTTACGACCATTGCAGCATCCCCAGGCTCAGGGGATCAAAATTTGGACACTTGGCAACCGACTCGTATTTATGACGGTTTCAGCGTCCTGGGGGGTGGTGGGTGGTCATGTGATTCCCCTTCTGTGACCCTCTGACAAGCAAAGTCATCGGAGGAAGCCCGATCTGCTTCACAACTGTGTTACTAATTTGAACATCAGTGGCAATTCACGTAACAAGTATGGCAAGGAAAGCCGTAAAATGGGGCAAAATTCATTTAACAAATGTCTCGCTTTGTGGCGTAAATCTGGGGCTCGGCTGTGGTCATAAGTCGAGGACTTCCTGTATTCACTCCCAGCGCTTCGCAAAGCTGTCTTTGGTTCATTTTATGACGGCTGTGTTCTAACAGCCAGCACAAAAAGATTATAAAATCATGTCAAGCCACAACCACAAGGGAAGGTTTCATTAGGGTTTTAAATAGACGACTGCCTGTATAGATGTTTCTGGGGTGGAAAACAGTCCAGTCATAAATGCATTTTATGGGGTTTCTCTTGGTATTAAGCAAGTCGACTTTTTCCCCCCAAACCATAAAAAGACTAACAGTGAGCGCTGCTGGCAGACATTACCGGACACATGAGCGACACTCGTAAACTCGTGGTGGCGATCTCGCTGTCAGGATCGGCTGTCAGCTTCTCTTTGACTGCAGGGAGAAAAAAAGCTTTTTTTAATCCCAAGCACAGATAATTCACGGAAGAGAGTTATGTACCACATGGTGTAACATACATGGACTTATGACATATACTAACATTTCACCTAGAGTTAAAAAAAAAAACACAATAAAAGAAGGATATACACACGTAGTCCTTGACTTACGGACACTATTGAGCCAAAAATTTATGTTACTAAGCGAGACTTTTGTTAGGTGAGTTTTGGCCCACTTTAGAGAATTTTTTTTGCCTCATTTGTTAAGTGAATCCCTGCAGCTGCTAAGCTAATAACGTGGTTGTTAAGTGAATCTGGCTTCCCCCACTGACTTGGCTGATCAGAAGGCCGCAAAATGGGATCATGTGACCTTGGGACACGGTCATAAATATGAGTTAGTTGCCAAGCACCTGAATTCTCATCACACGATCCTGGGGATGCTACGAAGGTCGAAACTATGAAAAATGGTCCTTTTTTCAGTGCTGTTGTAACTTTGAACGGTCATCAAACGAACTGTTGTAAGTTGAGGACTACTTGTATGTATTTGCACTTTTGTGTGACTCAGATCTCTGGCTGCTATGCAGCGATCACGGCAGCTGAAGCTCAGTGCCTGGTCCTGCTGAATGAGATGGACAACAGGAACCACAGGTAAGGATACATGTTAGATCCTACCATGTGGCAATGAGGGTGGCGAGGTCTAATTACTACTCCACCCTCATTGCGTCATCAGATAATCGCCCGGCCACCCTCTTCAGGGTGACCCGCTCCCTCCTTCAGTTGAGGGGGGGGGACCCCCTGGTGGGGAGGGCTGAGGATTTTGCTCAATATCTGTATGACAAAGTCGCTCGGATCCGAGAGGGTTTAGACTCCGACTGGGTGGCCCCGGGGGAGGTGACGGGAGCAGGTCTTGAGACTATTATATGGGAGGAGTTTGACTCTGTGGCTCCCGAGGACGTGGACAGGATCCTGGGGAGGCTGAATGCAACCACATGTTTATTGGATCCGTGTCCCTCCTGGCTGGTACTGGCGGCTCGGGAGGGTACACGAGCCTGGCTCCAGGGAATTATAAACGCTTCTTTACGGGAGGGTGCCTT